TTGTGACATGGTGGAGGCGCCGGGCAAAGGATTCCTACTTCAGAGTATCAGCCCAGAACGAGAGAAGCCCAATAACCTTTCGAGCCCAAAAAGGATTCCGCAAAAATTCTCACGTAGAATGAAAGATGCCATGACCATCAGTCGTCAGTCGCTACCCCAAGAAGCCAGCAGTTCCCTTCGTTCAGCTGCCAACCACCTTGAAGGACAGTCTAGGAAATCTTAAAGCCCAAAAGATTTCATCCCGATGCCCAGGACAAGGATACCTTCGAGCCCAAAAGGATCCTGCCGAAATTCTTTTGACGATTGGAGGATGCCATGCCTAATCGTCATTCCCTACCCCGAGCTGCCAGGAGTCCCACCGAGAAGAATCTGATTGGAATGCTTCAGTTGAATAGCCAGTGCCGGACTAAGTAATGGTGTGAGTGTGCATTGTAGACACTAAACTTTTGAGTGTGTGAACTCACTTTTCAAGATTTATTGATTTTTGTCATTTGAGTATTTTATGTATAGGTTCTCCTCGATATATTTAGATGTGATAATTTAAAAAATGGGGTCCAGTTCTCTCGGAGAGAGGGGTCATGTCACGAGTAGAACATACAGTATATTAGTAATTTGGAACCATGAGGGTTTTATAAACATAAAATTAATCAAATCATCCATTGACATTGAACTATGAAAACTGATCAAGGAACTCTCATGAGAAACGTGCAAATCTAATAAAATGATGTTTAAAAATATTGGATGTGAGGGTTCCGAAGTTAGTCTGGTCTGGGGCTACTCTTGACTTGACAAGAGCTCGTCGTGATGGTCGTTATAATGTGAGTTGTTATTAGGTCTTTATATTCATTGTTGTTTATTCATAATTGTTATCGCTACCCATAATGTTTCATGCTTCAATACATATTGTTATCTTTGAATATAGTCTCATACTTTCAGTTACCCCTAAACTATTAGTGCCTATTTGAATATTACCTCTCGCAAAATATTAAGCCAAGCTTTACCCCTTTCAAATCGATATGGTGGAAACACAACTCTTTTGTTGTGACAATAGACTTGGGCATTAGTGAAGTGTCATATCAACCGAAGTGACGAGGACATGAAACAATCCTCCTTATCTGCTGGGATAACGTAAACATAGCTGTAGTTGAAGACACTTAATTGCAGAAGAGGGTGAGATATAGTAAAACTAAACACCAAACTTTTTCAGTGCCCATTGGGTTTAGGCCTAGTCCTGATCTTCAGTTGATTGCTCATCTCACTGTATTCTATAATTCATTATTCATCATCCCTCTGTGTAATTTCGATGTATATACATATTGTTGAAAAGTTACGCGTTGTTCAATGTGTATACTTCAAATCCTAGACAATGAAAGTGTATTACCAGAATCAGTAACCTATCAAAATACAGTCCAATAAACCAATTAATCGAAACTACGAAACGAAATAACAGAGGATGATTCGTCATATCATAGATAATTTCTCAATCTGCTGTTATGAAATACCTCACTTCTTTGTTCCTTCTGCATTAACAAAACGTCTCGGAAATTTTTTGAAAACTCAATTCATCAGCAGAGAATTTCAATGTGAGAACTTCCATTGAGAAGACTTTGTGGTCCAAGTGTGATCTGTTGTATATTCATTTTCTTATAAGTGAATATGCTCAGGATGTTCTGATTTTATTTCCAAGTATGTCACTGATTTCAAGAATAAAGGTCAAATAATACGAAAGTTCAAATAGTCAAGATGGGTTATTTATTGCAAGCATTGCGTAAAGCTCAGAAATAGTCTATTGAATTCGACAAAATGTAAATATATCTTATGATTATAAATTAAGAATATGTAAGAAAATACATACGGTTGGTTCAACACTAATAAATCACAATGTAACAACTTAATGATATTTCAATATTACGATTTCCAGAGCACCATGATATTCGTTTTTCATGTAAATTATATGTACAGTTCGGCTCACTTGTTTCGGAGCAAAAGAAATGGAATACAATTTTGCTTTATCATACAATATCTAATACAAACATTCAATACTTGGTAGGAAGATGTTCAGGGAATACGGTCTAAGGAAGGTCAAAGTCGGTCCATCTTACCTAAAATAAAACAAAATAAAACAAATAAAATAAATAGTCATTTGATGAACCAGGACCTGCGTAACCTTCCTCAAACGATATCCCGTTTTTACACTTATAAATTACACGCTAATTAAACATATCGAAAACGCACGTAATAACAGCCTATTCTGATGGGACAGGACCGTCTTATCCATTTCAGGAAACGGTAAGAGGTGTGCCCATGTGGCATCAAGCCGCCAACAAATCTACCAATACAAGCTCTCGGTTCGACAATGCGAGGTACATCCTACGATATCTGGATCTTCCAAACATTTCTCTCATTGAACATTTGAAAAACCACATTGCTTATTGAAATTGCGATCGAGATCATGCTGGAAAAACATGGAAAATACGGTTACTATTCAGTGAATTGCGTCCAAGAGCAGGATGCAAATTTTGACCGTCATCTGACTGATAAAGAAATGATATCAAAGGCCTTGTAAAAACATTGTATTTTATCGAACGGCACCTGTGCTAATCCAAATCTTGTGCAAATGATTGGAAACTGGTACTTTCCTTCACGGTATAATTTGCTCCCAATTTCGCGATGTCCTAGAATATTTCGCCGCTCTCGAAAGATAATATCCGATGGACCAGTTTTGAGACGCAACATGTGGATTTGAATACTACACTGGAACAAAAAATTGAGTGAAATTTCACTCAAGGTCCACGCAATAATGTGTCAATTTCGGTCCACGCCCAATTGAGTTGAAACATCACCCTACTTGACTGTGTTATATGGTAATTCATGAGCTGATTAAATCAAATTTGTTGTAAACATTCTCAATAATAGGAAAGGTAAACATTCTCAATGATAGGAAAGTTTGATGAAATATCTAGTTTGAGTTGAGAATTCACTCAAAAATTTCAATCAGTAAATTCACTTACAACCACATAATAATATACAGTCACTCAAATGAATTTCCTACAGTGTTGTATGAGTTGCACACTGGTTCATCGAATATTATCTTTCGAGAGAGGCGAAATATTTACTGAACTATTGGCGCTCTGTCACTAAATTACATCAGTTTGAATTGCGGCACTATCATCAATAATTCTCCCCTTCTGGAATCGGATGGCATAATTTTTACCTTGTTAGCAAATCTCGAAATTTCCGTCTTGGAAAGTGCAAGTTTTCAATCATTTTGTTCAGGAAAGTGATTAGCACAGGTGCCGATCGATGAAATACAATGTTTTAACATGACTTTGGAACATAGGTATTATCATAATTTGTCGAAATTTGCAGTGATATAAACATATGGTATTAACCAGGAAAGCTTAATTCGTGTCAAATACGTTTCCAAATGATTCCTCCAACTTCTATCTGGAGCATTATGTGATTGTCTCCTAGGATGTGATTTATCTGGGGAAAATTCATGGTTGCAGCTTGCAATTATGAAAATCTCCGATGATATTGTAATTTTTGTTTGACATGAAGATGAACATATTTGACCAAATCTGGAATGTATTTAACAAGAACGGCACAAGTTCCATTTGCGATTAACTAAAACTGAATTATATAAACCGAGGCAAATTGAATAATTTGGTAGGTATATTATAGGGATCTTCACAGTAACAAGTTGTGAATGGATGGCTTTCCAAATAATCCGCATATATTATTCCGTAAATAGTTGTTAGAAGGAAAATTCTGATATACCTATACAGGGTTTTTCACGATGAGAGTCAATTAGACGTTTCTGGCAAACCAAGTAACATGTGAATCTGAAGATTTGAGGGTATGTATAAATTGACATGATCTACGCGTCTAAAAAGAAGAAACATTGAATTTTCAAATAGAACACCCTGTATTACACTTGGGATTCAGCAGAAATGATTACAGAGATATAGGGTGTTCAAAATCGAGATTTTACAACTTGAGGATTTTTTGTATCGAAACTCTCCCTACCTCGACTTCTGATCTACTATTTACTGACATTTAATTGGAACAGGTACGTGGTGATCAGAATTATTGATCTTGAAACACCCTTCAATATCAGTAGATAGTGAATAATAAGTTGAAATGGTTACATGAAAGCCGTTTTGACCGATAATGAATAGTTTCGACATAAAAAAATACTGAAGTTGAAAAATCTCGATATTAAACACCCTATATCTTTGTAATCATTCCCGCTTGACTCCAAGTGTATTACATAGATGAAATCAGCTTCTCAGAGAGAATCAAAAAATATAATTAAATACAGGGTGTTCCGTTTGAAATATCAAAGTGATATTTTCCAGATGAAGCAGTAACGCCGCATCGCTTGAAATATTTCAGACGTGTAGATCATGTCAATTCATATAAACCATTCAATTCTCAGATTCATCTGTTGCTTGGTTTGCCAGAAACGTTTAATTAACGCCCATCATGAACACCCTGTATTACCTAGTAAATACTGGCTAATCTTCAGGTTTGGAATATGCATGGAAATATTCATAGATAACATTTGAGAAGAGACGTCTTGTTAAAAATTCACTAGAAAAAGTTGAGGACCACCAGGGTCACAAGGTATTCCATCTGGATTAGCCACATAATGTCAAAAGTATTCCCTGATATTTCCAAAGTGTTCTCGATTTTCTTTTTCAATAAGAAAAAATTGACATAAATAAAAAAATCTTGAAAATCTGAAGTATAGTAGTAATAGGATTTGATATAATTTTCAAATATAATTCACAAAGACCAGCTTCATCAGCATTCAAATGACTTACACTTTAGTGTTTCTTGAGTTTTGCAAATCTCCTAATGCCTTTGTGTAAAGCGAACAAAGGCAGAATAATAAAATAATTGTATCACTGGACTAGCTCATTCGATAAAACTCGAACGGTAAAAACTAAGCAATATACACTTTGTAAAATAAAAAAAAGAACATTTACACACAATCAGTCTGATACAATGAGAGTCTCTTTGAGAGCCAATAGCTGCTCTTCTCCTAACTTTATCTTTTCGCTGATCTCTTTCGAGTCCATAATGAGTTTGGCCTTCATGTTTATGAAGTGATCATAGTCGGCGTATTCTTCGGAGTTCAGATATTTGTACAGGAAGTTCGAAACGTTGACACTACGGCGGTCGATGCTTTCCTTTAGCTTTTTCGCCTCTTCCAATTGGTCCAGCAATTTGTTCCGCTTGGCTTCTAGGATTCTCTATAAAAAACAAAACAACATACGTTAGATATCGAACTTACACCGTTGAATTTGATGCAATGGCGTGTGGTTCGTTTGATTCCCGATTGATGAAAAATATCCCAAAACTTTCGTACAAATATTTGGACAAATCATTGAGGTCGTATCCGGAAAATTGTTTTCTGCGTCGATGATAACGAAGATTATTCGTTTGAAACAAGAAATTCACGGCTGTGTACTGTAACTTGGTATCCAGTCAACTACAGTTCTCAACACACTAAATGTACCACTCATAATTCGAAGACCTGTATTTTTTTCAAAAATTGACCGATCTTCATGCGGTTTTCGATATCAGATGTGATATTTCATCGGCTTAAAGAGAGCTAGAACACTCTGTAATAGTCCGCAGAACGAAACTTACACAGGGTGTAAAGTGAAACCATTACATGATGGTCTAAATTTCCAATGCTCCTAGAATTCGAGAAATTTTTTTTTGATCAAAAGTCAGTCATATTATGATACACTTGGACCTCATCTCAAGAGGTTTTCGTGATTTCTCCTTTATGGCCAACATTGGAACAAAAAACCGATTTTTTTCGAAAGTCTTGCATTTCTTGAATTTTTTCTTTAGAACTCCACTTGAGCTGAGTATTGGGAAGAACTGTTCTCATGTTTCGTGGACTTTCGTCCACTATTGTGGAATATACAGGAAGATAAGGAAATAGGACAAAATCTCATTTAAGGAAAAAAAAATCAAAAATGGAGACTAAAACCAGGGCCAATTCGATTCAGTATATTCGGAAACGGCCTTCTTGATATCCAATATTTATATTAGACTATTAACTCGAGGTATTTTCGAAAATTCGCCTCTAATTGAAATACAGGATGAAATTCTCAACTCAAACTTGTTTCCTGATATCGATGATTCTCATCAACTGATTTCCAATATTTATTGCTCAAGTATGAGACACAGAGTATTGTTGTTCAATATACTGACTGTTTCACAACTTATCTGTGGTGTTTTCAGGTTTGTTTGCATCATCTTCAGCCCAGGTATCGAGCCTATTGAGTAAGATTTGACTAAAAACTTTAGCTGGACAATTCGATAACGCAATACCTCTGTAATTTGAAGGGTCTTATACGTATAATACAAATATCATGAGACTATTGAAACTCACCCTTTCTGGGTGATCTTCCGCCATGCCCATCAGGGCGTTCTCGGCCCTGGCGAGTCTTCCGGACAAGCTGAGGAGCAAACTGGTGATTTTGCCGACTTCTTCGACGTGCAGCCTGAACTTGGCCACTTCCTGCGGCCTGGCAACCCTGTCGATGTGCGATTCGACGTTTTCGCCTAGCTCATCGTTTATTTTGCACTCGTCAGTCACCACCACTTGCTCGCCGCGCAGCACTTCTAGCTTCCGGTCTAGTCGAGTTACGAGCTCTTCCTGGAACCGATTAACAGAATGATGATAATAATCAATATTAATGAATAACTCAGGCTATACTATACAATTTATTCATTGAATAGCAACTGGACGTTTTCGGCATTAGGCCGTCATCAGGAGAGTATCTGAAAAGTGAAAGTATCTTTAACAGGTACAATATATGTAAAAAATGTGAGGTTGAAAATAATTTGTTAATGTCAGAAGAGAAAAATACATTTTTTTTATTGATCCCAAGAAATATGCAATGTTCATAGAGGGAATCCAAAAAAAGTATAATAATAAATATATCAAATATGCAATACAATGATAAATAGTTCAATTAGAATTGATCGAAGCAAGGAGGTAGTTAAATTGATAAAATATATTTTTTCAGTTCACACTGGTAGATTTTATTCTGGTAGACTATATAAATAACAATTCCACAAGAATACAATGATTTTTCCCCGAATTGGGTTTTTATTTTGACAGTTTGCAAATGTTCACTTTGTCTGGTGTGATGCTCTGGGTATCAGAATTGATATTGAAGGTTAGATTCGAGTGCCTCTTCTTATTTTTAGTGAAATGAATGAAAATGCATACTTTCATTTTGAAGAGAGAGTCGATATCTAGCAGATCCCTTGGTTTGTATAGTCTAGATGTTGATTCCAGAAATGGTAGTTTATAAATCAAAAACTCACTTGTCATATTAAAGTCTTGCAGAAGATAAGCATTAAAAACATTACATACATTCACATTGTTTTTAATACTCATCTTCTGCAAGACTATATGAGTTTTTGATTCATTCAACGATTTTCTTCTGACATCAACAAATTGATTTTAACCTCACATTTCTTACATATTATTATATTGTACCTGTAAAAGAAAAAAAGCACTTTTCAGATATTCTCCTGATGATGGGCTAGTGCCGAAAATGTTCGAGTTGCTATTCAATTTATTAATTGTATACTATAGCCTGTGTCTTACTCATTAATATTGATTATTATACTAAGTATACACAACCACTTCTCTAACCGAGAATAATGATTGGTATTGAAAATAAATATAGTTACAATCTATATAAATCAACATATTTCACAAGGGAAGCTTTCGTGACTGTTAGTTAGTATATATTCTTGGGAATTTTCAAACAATATCTCACCTTCATTCCAAATTGAAAACTCTTGTCCAAGTCAAGAATATATAGGTCGAATATAATTCATGGTCTGCTCAAAGACAGAATTACTCCACAACAAAAGTAATTGTAGACGGAATTCAAAATCATGTATTCCTGCTGAGTTGAACGCGTTATAGATGAGGATCATCTCATGAATTATGATAATGCTAGAATTATGGATTTTCAGAAACATCTCAACAAACGGCTATTTCTTGAAATGGTTCATATCAATGAAAATGACAAGAAGTTCAACAAAAAACTTACACCAATGATTTTAGTACTATATGTACTATTCTTTTAAAATAAAGATATTATAACTCCAATCGTCCTTAAAATGATTCTTATTTCATATACTCACTGTACATATGTATAATCCACCATATCTTATTTATATATTTAACCTTCATAAGTATCTTTGAAGCATACCAATCTCATTGATGTATGTACTTTCATAAATTAGCATTATTGTTCATTCGATGTTTTTAAAGCAAGTCTTGATAAAGAAAATGGACATTATCGAGAACTGGACAGAAAATGACGAAATCTAACTGATGATTGGTCACATTCGACTGCTTCCCACGAATATTCCCAAGAATAAATTATCACATTCATACTGCGCAGACGCCACAACCAATTTTAATGCTTGTTTATTGGTCGTGATAGTTGTTTATAGGGAGTAAAGTTACCATCAAACCTATACGGACGGATCGCGCCTAACTGACAAACAGGACTCAGGCGCAGGAATTTACCTAGAAGGATTAGGCATAAGGGAGAGCTACGCTCTTGGAAAGTATACCACAGTTTTCCAGGCCGAGGTCTTTGCCATTCTGGTAGTAGCGGAGAGGCATGAGGTGAAAGAGGGACCAGAGCAGAAGATTTACATCTGCTCGGATAGTCAGGCGGCTCTCAGGGCTGTCTGCCATCCTAAACCAAGCTCAGCCTTGGTGCAGGAATGTGGCGATGCTCTTGAGAAACTAGCTGAACAGAAGGAAGTCGAACTAGTATGGGTTCCGGGGCACAGGGGGGTGCCCGGGAACGAGGTGGCCGACGAGCTGGCTAGAATCGGATCCGCGACACCGTTCTGGGGACCGGAGCCTGCACTGGGCATAACAAAAGCCAAACTTCGTCTGCCCTTATCAAATGGGCGGACGAGGCACTAGAAGTATATTGGACGCGTATAGGCGGCTGCAGGCAATCGAGAGACCTGGTGGCCGGTCCAAGCAAGCCATGGACGGCTTGGTTGCTGGGCAGGGATCGCCAAGTCCTGCGCCTTCTTATAGGGATACTGACAGGGCATAACAGGTTACGCAGACACCTATCACTCATAGGTGTGGAAGATAGTCCCACTTGCCGTGAATGCGGAGAAGATGAGGAGACATCACTCCACTTCCTCGGAGAGTGTGAGGCGTATGAAAGGATGAGATTCGAAATCTTTGGAGTAGAAAAACTACAACAGGAATATTTGGTCGAATTAGAGTGGACGGACATCCTGACCTTCATCAGAAGGACGAGAAGGTTCGAAAAGGACAACTAAAAGAGGGATGTGTAGATATGTGGAGAGCAGGGGTTGGCAAAAAGGGCCCATGGGGGCCTACTTGCCTGGCTACAGCCTCCCCACAATACTACTACTACTACTATCATCAAACATGAATAAAAACGTAGCAGCTGATGATATTTCAGTGATGATTCAATATTGAGAAGTGATGATGTTTGTTCCGCATGTTTCTATCATTGTATTCGAATATTTCGAGAATTTTATAGTCCAAGAGCCGCAATAGCCGGCTCCAAATTTCAACCGTCATTTGATAACGAAAAACATTATTTTATGGAATGGCACCTGTAGTATAGTAGCTATAGTAAACCTTATATATATATAATTCACCTTATATATTATATTTCATAGTAGATCAAGTGACTTTTCGAGAAATAGGTTGTTGTCATGATGAATTTTGTACTTTTGTTTCAATAAAGAAGTAATTCAGTTTCATAATACAATTCTTTCAAGATATCATTCTGAATAATAATATATTGTAATCAGGATATTACAGTGGTGTAAGTCAGGATACTGAAGCCAATAGGGATATAGAAGATCATGTAAAGAAACAACAAAATAAACAAAAATATTATCATAGGGGACAGATGTTCGAAACTTTCGAAATAGGTGAAACAGTAACAGTTAAGGATTATAGAAAAATCAATAATGTTTGTTGGATCAGAGGTGTCATTGTTAAAAAAAATAGGTGTTTCAATATATATTGTAGAAATTCCAGAATTGAATGTTACATGGAAGAGACATTTGAATCAAATCAAAAAGTTGCATATTATTCAATCACATATTTTAGAAAATGAAGGGAAAGAAACTACGTCAGATAATAATGTAAATGCTCAATTTAGAGAACAATCCATAATGGAAAATATCTGCCGACCTAAACGAAATGTTAAACCTCCTGAAAGGTGGAGGTATGATTGATTTATTTTTCTCTTTGAGGGGGAGATGTAGTATAGTAGCTATAGTAAACCTTATATATATATATAAATCACCTTATATATTATATTTCATAGTAGATCAAGTGACTTTTCGAGAAATAGGTTGTTGTCATGAATTTCGTACTTTTGTTTCAATAAAGAAGTAATTCAGTTTCATAATACAATTCTTCCAAGATATCATTCTGAATAATAATATATTGTAATCAGGATATTACAGCACCTGTGCCACTTTATCTTATATAACGAGATAGGAGTTATGCCATCCGATATCAATAGAATGGACAATTCAATTTTTCATTCATTTTCCTCAGGATAGTGATTATCACTGATGCCGTTCTATAAAATACGTTTCCACATGTCTTTGAAACATATTACATTTCGTTATCAGTTGACGGTCCAAATTTGTAGTTGGCTCTCCTACTATTATGAATGTTTCTTACCTTCTTTTCATTGAGATCTTTGGTATTTTTGGCAATATGACAAGTACTCATATCCTGGCTATATCTAGTTAGAAATTTAGCCTTGGGTTCGGAAGTGGTGAAGTACGTTGAGGAACCTGATAGTGGACTTGTTGGTTCTATCATGGTACTTGAAGGAGATAAGCTGAAAAACACATTCGAATTAGTACCTCAGAGATAACAAATAAATTCGTTCTTACCTCAATTTGCTGGTTATATTCGATATAGACATGGAACAAGTAGTACTCGTTGACACTGAAGCCAGCGTAGGGGGCGGAGTACTACTAGGAGTATTGTTTTTACTTCTGAAGGGAGAATTCAAAGGTCGTGGCCTTGAGGTTACTTCCACCCTGAACAACCCATGAACATAGTCTGTAGACTTTTTGTGCTCAGGACCAGGCACTATAAAGAAAACAATCATCAGATAATACAGCCTAATTATCACCATAGATGGATCTTACCCAAAAGCTCTTTCAACCTATCTGAAGTCGGAAGATGATCCATCAGGTCCTCAGCTAATTTCTCGCACTCGATCTCCTCTTGTAACTTTTTCCTGATTGGCAAAGGAGTTGGAGGAAGCTCTTCCTTTTCAGTCTGAGAAGCAGCATCAGCCATGGAAGCGTTAACTCTCAAAACAACTTCAGTCCTTTGTATGAGTTGCAGCCCCTCTATCACCTGTGGGTAGTCATTCGATTTGATGGGCGAAAGAGGTGGTGAGGAGTCCGGAGTAGGAATCTGGGGTGAGGAAATCGGGCTGTTATGTAGAGGTGTACTTAGTGTGAGATTCGCCATAGGTGAATTTCGGATTGGCGATAGTTTCATAGTAGAATTAGGAGAGAGCGACGGCTTTATTGACGGGGATATCCTTCTAGGCGATTTAGGGGTAGGATGGCATGTGTTCTTAGGAGATCCGGGGGGCGTATAACTCAATTGCTTCCAGTCAGAATTTGGACTAGAACTAGTTCTGGGCAACGTTGCCGAGGAAGTCCTAGTGGTGGTTGAAGAGCTAACAGAACTAAGAGAGAACCTCGAAGTAGGTGTAGAAGTGGCCACAGTACTAGTCGTAGCTGTAGACGTAGTTGACGTGTTGGAGAAGCTGGGTGTTCTCAAGGGAGTAAAAGGCGAACATCTCGATGGACTCTTTGGTGGAGAAGAAGGAGGTGACTTCAGCGCAACTGTATTCAAGCCAGAGTCATTAACGTCAGGCGAAAGACTCAGATGCATAGGCCTGTTGTAGTGTTGAGATCTAGGCCCTAGTAGCTTAACGTTGACGGGAAGAACATCAGGAAGAACCATCGGTTTCTTCAAGTCCTCCTTATCGTCGCAGCAATCCATTTTCTGCTTGTCTTTGATGGAAGTCCTCCTCAGGATGTTGTTGTTTGCAGGTTTGCTAGACGGTCTGTTCGCTGGCCACATAGTTTCTCTGCTGTTCAGCTTCTGAGAGTCGTTGACGGATTCTGGTGGCAAAGCGTGTCCATTGGGGGACATTGTCCTCTTGTAACTTCCCGTTTCTGAGTCGGGAACGATGCGATCTCTGTCCCTTCGTGGAGCTAGATAGGAGGCCTTTGAATGACTCCTGCAATTAAAATACAAGTATAAGTAATCGTAATATGGCAGTTCAGCTCGAAACGTTCAACAAATTGGCTTTGTCTGCCTGTGCTATTGCCATGAAGGAAGAGGCACAAAATTAATATAATTGAAATGTGATGATATAATGCGGGGACAGAGACAAGATAATAAGCTTTGTTCGTATCATTTGCGGATGCATCGCTAGAAAAAAATTATAGAGTGCATAGGAATAATCTTTGTTGTGATGGTTTCAAGGATGTACCTATACCTATACTCCGACCATTGTTTTTGTTCGACATGTTGAAAACTAAAACAGTTCAACAGGAATGTTCATAGTGCATCAGCATACTAATAGAACGGTGTTTTCTGACAATACATCATTGTTCTTGCTCCTAAGAAGGTTCACACAATAAAGGCATATAGTCGCAGACTATTTATACAAAAGATTTAGTTTCTGTTAATGTATTCTAATATAGTGTCTAAACATCGAATCTGTGTTGCTAACGGTTGTTCTGTTTGACTTTGCATGACTGATTTGTAGCAGGAAAATCAAGAGTGATGGAGAATTAGCTGCCGATTCGAAATGTATTACCTGTTCATTTGCATAGGCATGTCTATATTGCCTTCAGCTGCTGTTAACGTTTGATGCCATATCCATATAATTATCTTTAGAAACAAATTCACTTTCTTCAAATCTCCAGACAGAGCTGATGTATTGAATAATAGTAAATATCTTTGGGAATTCCAATGTGATGATAATTCGAACTGAACATTATATTCACTTTCTATACTTTGTTTATTTTAATTGCATTGATAGCGCCTCTCTTCCTGTGTAATATTAAATATAAAAGTGATAACATCAAGACGAATTATCAAGTTCCAAATATCTCATGAATATAATGAAAAAAATAAGAGTTGGAATTTCACTATTTTCTATAAAGTCGCGGTGATATAGTGAAACATATGCCGATAGACATTCCTTGATATGAATTATGAAGATACATGGAATAAGAAAGTGGTTGGTCTAGTCAAAACATCAAAAATATCGATTCCATATTACTCGTTAAATACATTTTCTCTCATTACGAAGAAAGCCAAAGTGAAATTCCTTTGCATGGATGTTATCCTAGGTCTTGATATTTTTGGATTTTTTGTTAGAAAGCTTAAATATAGCGTTATGTAATTTTGACGTAGCTATTACAATTAAATAAGGCATGCATGATGTTTCTTCTAAGATAAACTGTGAATCCTCGTTACTTCTCACTGCAACTGCTGTAATTACCTCTTCTAATCATTATCAGTTTTTGAAAAAAAAAAAAAAATCATTCAGCGTTAGTGCTTCTGGTGGTTTGTAGTTTGAATTGTCAGAAATGGATACGCGAGTAGAAATAAATCATTCATACATTTCAGTTCGTATTCCTATAGATTGTCTTGGAAATTAGGTCGGATTTTTTACTGCTGCTTCATTATCTAATTTCAATTGATTCTCCAACATCACTTGTATCCGAAGAAACAACTACAATGAGATAGGATATATTCATAATTCACCCGATGATTCGAGGTCGCTCAAGCACGGTTTTGAATATTCGAACTCTGAGCTAGCAACGAGCAAGTTGCAAGCCAGTGCGAAGTGGACCACGCAAAACTCTCTCAGTGGTAGTACTAGTAGTGGTAGTAGCATATATCATCAGTTGCAGGGGTGGTCCAATAAAATATCAACATATATTAGATGTTGTTGAATGACCCTTGCTATGATAATTTGTGCAAGATAATAATCCTTTTATTTCCTTAAGTCCATATTATTACATCACATTACATGTGCATCTGGGTGTGCAGATAATATATCGATCTTCTGAATCATTATGCTGCTCACAATTGATTTTGTTTCAGAATATATAGAATTGAATAGCCTCATGGAATGTAACTTCAGTAACACTTTTATGACCACTCGAACTATATATAGAATGTAAATATACCCGTATATTTGTCTATCGATCACTCAGTTAGTTACAGTGATTGTACGCTGTATACCTCTCTACCTATCTCTAACTATCTGTTCCAACTACCCTACTAGATATGATACCTAATATTAGACGAAAACTCATAGGGATCCTGGAAAAAAATTGAAATAACAAGAACATTTGCACCAGACAGATTGAGCCACGAAAGGTATGTGAAATATTCTATAGATTTTCCATGACGTAACTTATTGCTATTGCTTTTCGGAAGCTGTAGAAGTTTTGATTTGGGACCAAATAGTAATTACAATTCTTGACATGTTTCAACTGATCATGTAGGTATTTGTCGACCTTCCTGATTGATGATACATATTTATATTATTCTCTCTAGTCAGTGGTTTGGTTAAAAGTGATGAAACAGAAATTTATAATATGGTGTAGTTATAAGCCATCAGACAATGGAGTTCCTCATTATCATTATAATTATCATCAATTCTTGATGTAATTGGAAACAGTGCTTTGTTGTGCTTACAAATTATGGAAATAATATGATAAAGCAGCCATACACAGCACTTATTATGAATATGAATTAGATAAGTTTCAGCAGATAGACCTTGAATTCGATTGGAATATTTGCGGAAGCAACAGTTCAAGTGTGAAATTCCTGCTACATCCAATCCATTTGGAAATACCATGCTTTGTTATTATGAGGGATGAGTTCTTTTCATAGCCCATGACTATTATCGAAAATAAATTTATCATCTGGAAATTCTATAGATATAGGGGTGTATACAAAGCAACTATTTCAGTATGAATATAGAAACGTAACTGTTCGAAGTCCTTTGCAACACAAAACAGAAAAAAATGCATGAAGCTGTGCACATGCAGAGAAGATTTAATGCATTTTCCAATTCCATATTCAGTGAAATCATCTTTTTAGTTTCCAGCGTTGATTGGAAATATACAAAAAGAGCTTCGGAGATAGGTAGAAGAATTCATCTCTCTTGCTGAATTGGCTGCCATTTTGGAAATATCACTTCAGGTTATGATATGTATGATTCCAATGACCCACTTCAAATAATTCAAATCACGCTCATCGCTCTCGGCATCTCTCGGGAAATGTGAGAATATGTGATTTTGGGAAACTGTCACGATATTGATAATTCATGTTCTGTTTTCAGTCCAAAGGGATTATTGCTTACGTACCTTTTCATATTGAAATGATTCAGAGGAATTTCTGAAAGTGTGAAATGTGGGAGTGACTATAATTCCTTCAAAGTAGATTTAACTGATTGAATTGATTTATCAAAAACTCGAAGAAATGCATATAAACACGAACAAAAAAACTGTCAACAACTTCTCGACCACTCCCACAGTAACAGTTGATCTGGTTGGAACGATTCGACCTTGCATTATATTACCTACTCTTGTGCAAATGGATTGATGCTATAAAGTCTACGTTATTCTAGCCAATTAGAAAGTTCAGAATAAGGAAGAAAAGTACAGTCAAATTCCATCGATTCGTAATGTCATCATAATGCTGTACAGTACTGATCAATCACGGCAGTCGGTTTTATAGCAGAAAAGACTAGGGGCATTAGGTTGTCTATAACTTTTTTAGAGTGTGTAGTAGAGCTCGGAAGGTTTAGTGAAAAGACTGAATGACAAACACACAAATCAATTCTCAGGATTCGAAATCCTAACAATATTGAATCAAATCATTTTAGATGACCTAATTCAATCAGATGCATATGCATAATATAAGACTTACTTATTGGTTATTTCTGTGATATTTTCGAGATTTAATACAATTAACACGATTGAATAGCAGGAAAAAAATGTATGCGAAACACAACACACAAAATATGTGAACAAAGAGCTCTGATAATGCCGCAATGTTGTTTTTGTTACAGCGCCCTCAACGGTACTTGTTAGTTGAATAACATTACTCTTGAATACTTGAAGTCCTAAATCAATAATAAGTAAGTATTTGGTTCTTGTAGGGGGAAGAGAGTAGTTTTCAAGAAAACCTGATGAAACTGAAAACATTTTTTTAGCTGAAAACCAGTGTTCTCAACAGTCGCATGATTACTGATTCTCACTGGTTGTTTTAACATCTACGAACATGAAGCTCGGTAAAATTCTATCGAAAAAAGCACTCTTTAAATGATAAGAACTGATTGAAATTTCTAGATGTTCTTGTTAAAATATCAAATCACGAGCTCGTAGAATGAATATCGTGGAAAGTACAGAATTATATTGAATTAATATATACTAATATTTACAGATATGAGGAGGGAAAATCCCGAATATGTAGAGGAATAATTAAATTCCATTTTGATTGTAAAATAAACGAGTTCGCAAATGGAAATCCATGACTGTGAGTGTTACTATTCCGATGGATAATAATTGAATGAATAGATCAAGTCGAGTGGAGCATGAAATCAAATTTGCGATTTTTATCTTTTTGTATAATCACCGAAGCAAAAATTTGATTACACAACACAATTAAGTACTTACCTACCAATAAATTATTTATATAGATGAACTCGTAAATCGTTTATTACTATCTACTTTTACATGAAATATATAAAGGCAGATTATTTCCTCAATGGTTTGCGATTTTGACATCTTCTGAATAATAATCTATTATTAACGGTTTCTTGAGCGAACCACATCATTCATATTAGGGCTTGCGATAAGGTGCCATTATAGGGATTAGTTATTGACGTTCAAACGTCTCCCACTTTTAACAGTACCAATACCATCGTCCACCAATATCCTAATATTGGATAACCTGAGGATTCTGACACTGTTGTCTAAGTTTTACCACATATACCTATAGGAAGGATCGGTCTGAACCAATAAGCGTACTGTCGTTTCTGCTGTATGGAAGACGAAACTCTTGCTTAGAGAGGCTAAGGTTCGACATATTTGGTTTTACCAATTTAGAACCTTTCGATTTCAGACAAATCTCATCTCATTCTACTATGGACTTAGTGAAACAAATGGGATTGTACAGTGAACTGTAACCTCTTGGAGTCAGCCAGAATAGACCTATCTGGGGTCACAGTGGAGAGGCGGTAGTCGCCTCACTCACATGGAAACTAACCTAACCTAACCCTTGCAACGCTTGCTCGTTACATATTCCAAATGAATCGTTAATGAAGTCAAGGACTAGTTAATCTTTTTGATTGAATAATTAGCGCTTTTGGTAGTAGGTAAAATATTGTACTATATTCGTATCGTCAATTCATATTACGATAATCGATGGGTTATCAAAGTTGTCATTCCGCCTCGTTTGGTAAATTTCATATCTCATATCGTAATACGAGTCTACTATACTTGTATCGTGAATATACATATATTGAATGTCTCCCTCCAAATCATGCTACTTATCACTTTTATACCATAATTCAAAATTCGCACTATGTCAATACCATTTATGTAGGCAAATAAAATACTGCGAATCTCAATCACACTGTAGCTTCTCAAGTTCCTGCGAAGAGTATAACAAAGGCGCGAAAATTCAGCAGTAATACTAACTGTACAAAATGGCCTAAAAACAACCAACGGCAAACATGTCTAACTACAACGTGTGATAATTAGTTTTGAAGAAATAACGACCTAGCTTCCTTGCAAGATCGTTTCAAG